ACCTTGTATGTACCATGCATGTAAAGCTACGCAACTTAAAGAAAGAAATTGTGGGCAAAGAAGATCTGCACTTCTGTCATGTGAACTGATAGTTTTGGAGACATTTTTCTCTCCTTGTTTCCATCAAGAACTATTTTAGAGAACATTTCGAGTATGTTAACAATTATCTCAAGGTTTAGCAAATGTCAGCAGAAGTGCTCAAGTGTTAAAAAGCTGAAATACAAGATAAAAGGGCTACCTCACGTAATACATTGTTAAACAGAGATGAAACTGGATCTTAGGTTCTGACCAAAGTCAGACCCCCACACAGAAGTCAATCTGTTGCACTGTGGACATAAGATGCCTGAAAATCCCAACATTAAGACTGTTAAGTGTATTTGCTCTCACCTCACCCTTTTCTTGACAGGACACAGTGTTTGCACAGACCTTGTCACAGCCTGTGCTCTTAATGTTGATGTTGTGTCAGGAGTGAACCTAGAACATAGAAAAACAGTAAAAAAAACATGCTGTTGCAGGGCAGAAATGATATCACTCACACAGAGAGGAGGAGGAACAAATACAGGCAGCGTGTCTGGCTGCTGTAACTGCATCACAGTAAAATACAGAAGTGAAACAGACAAACTGAATCACTGATGTCTTTTTTTTTTTATAAATGTTTAGAAATGTTTAGAAATGCTCTTAAATGTGTAATTATGGGTGTAGTTACGTGTATGATTCTTCGTGTATCTGTGTGGGTTTATTTGTTGGGTTAAAACACAGTAGATATATGTTTATAATGTAAAATCTCTCTTTTTTATTGTTCGATAATGAAATTTGACTGAGCTCATCTTTTATCAGTAACGTCTCATGTATTTTGCTGATGATACGATGGCGCCTCCTAGTGTTGTATGTATGGACTGACTGCAGTCTTCTGTCACACCTGACACTTAAATGAAGATAAGCAAAGCAGAAAATAACTTTAATGCATATTATCCTCTGTGACTGGTTACCAGTCAGTTCTATCAGAGATGATTAATTCTGTCCCAGTGCGTTATTTGGTCACAGGCTAAAAAAAGGGGGAAGTTAATTCAAGTAGTGATGTGTGGTTTCTTGTGAGTTAAAGGGGACATGTCACAAAAAAATAATCAAATTTTTAGCCGTTAAATGCATTTTTTGTGTACTTTAATCTCTCTCAGTGCTTTGTAGATGTCTTTATATCCTTCTTGGGRRATATTTTTCAACGTGTTCAGTTTTTTTTTCTATTTTCTAATATGTTTTCTGAACTATTACATCACAGTACTGCAAAGGAGCTGTTAAGTAAGGTCTGGACTTATCAACTAGAATTTGGTGGTCTTCAATGTCATCTGGCTCTGGATCAGACTCTGGCTCCAACATGTAAGGCTGAATAAACAAGTTTTCCCTTGTTGACATCTTTTAATAAATTTGTAAATAAAAAGATTTTGTGTCACTATCACTGCTGCTTATCAAACTGGAATGGACTAATCTGGTAGATGGAGGGGGCAGGGCATAAAGCGTCTAGTTTGGTTTAAAGAGACAGCATCAAAACGAGCTGCTTTGAGAAAGAGAGGCTTGTGGAGTTACAATAAGGAGGAATTCAGACCAGTGCATTGCTTTTCTACTTTATATAGGCCCCAACTGAATGATTTAAATGTGGAAAAGAAGGATTTTAAAACACATCTCCTTTAAAGCATTCGATTCTAGTTAAACACTTAGAATACACAAAATGTTCAACAGAAACAAAACAGCTTAAACATAACTCAAAAGTTATACTTTTTTTTCCCCTTATTGCCTTCGACATATTTTTAGGAAAGAAAAACAGAAGAAAAACTGCTTGCATGAGCAGTGGGAGATGCCACCAAGACCAAGAAACAGTCAGAATGGGAAGTGACCTGCAGCACTAAATCAGCTAAAAAAATAGACAAATGAGTCTTTGGGGTGTTTAACTTTTCTTATGTTATTAAAACACATAAGGTTTAAAAGTAAAATTGATCATAAGATTTGTTTTATAATCCCCAAAAATCATCTTTTTTAATAAGCCCTCCTGACCTCTGACCCCTTTCCAGAGTCAACCAACCTGTCAGAAAATCTGCATGATGGGTGTATACATTTTTCATAAAGGATTCCAGTTGGTCACCATTATAATGAATTATTCAGCACAAAAGATGGACCAAAATCTTAACAAACGTCACTGAAGTGATGCTCAGATTTAGCTTCTCTCCCCTCTCCTTGTTCTGATCCCTCCGTGTCTGAAACTCTCCCTGTGGACAAAAGAAGCTCCACTGCAGGCTGTAATTGGGTTTGATCATCTCGAGATTTCTCTCCAATTATCGCATCTGCTGCGCCACGGCTGCTGCGCACGAACACAAACCATCCTCATGCGTAAAATGCGCAGAGGTCATCCAAATAATAACAAACAAGCTTCTGTATCAAATCTCTCCACATAAATCTGCAAAATAATATGCGACTTGATTATTTTTCTTAGGTATCATTGCGTGAAAGTTATTTCCCAATAATATTAGTCACAGCTTTGTTTTTTTTTTTATCAGAAACTGTTTTATTTAAATACTTAACCTGAATCCAACTTCCCAACATATTTTTTTTCTTTCTAAGAATTTCGATATTGAAAATCATCCCTAAACTTCCCGCTTTAATTCTTAATGTATGAGCGTCTCGTGTAAAAAAAAAAAAAAAATGGGGTCAATTCGTCTCTTACCATAACAGAGTTGGTCCTCGTCTTCTTCCGCGTGTTCACCCAGCTTTGTACCTTTATCTTTTGCCGTCTTGCCAGTGTGGTATTCAGACTTCAGTGTTATGATTGACAGAGAGAAAACCCAATAAGAAAACGAGTTGATTCCCCTCAGCCAATCGGTGTTCAGAGTGGGCGGGGCAAGAAGTGAAACCTTTCTTCTGAAATAAAAAATAAAAAAAAAAGGAAAAACGGTGCAGCCTGGGGATTGTTTCAGCCAGAAACTAAATAGCTAATAACATATTTTTCCCAAAGTTTGGTAATTTGTCTTGCAAGAAAGAGACAATCCAGGATGTTTTGTGCAGATATAAATATACACAGCTTATGTATTTTCTTATACATATATGCATTTAGGCTGAATGTTTCTACTACTGTACATAACTGTTGACTCTCACCATTTATTTTCAATTTTTGATGTTTTTATTTAACTAAATATAAATTATGATTAAAAAAAAACCTAGGAAAGAATAAAGAAGTTCCCCATAGCCGGTGAAGATTTATTTCCCCCATCCTGTTTTTCAGTCTGGATCTGCCATCTCTGGAAGTGTTGCAGGATGGAAACCTCAGCTTTAGGAAGTCTCCCTCACCCTATTGTCTCAATATGAGTTATAATTTATCACGCACAGAGGAAGTGAGTTGTTCCAACAGCTGACCGGCTTCCCTCACTGAAAACAGCTAAAGGATGTGGCAAAGCTGGGGGAGAATTTATGGAAGTAGTTTGGAAGGACTGGCGCTGTTGTCCCTCTCCTCTGATTATTATTGGGTCACTTAGCTTCTGATTTACCAAAGATCATTGTGAAGATAATAATACAGCTCAGAATGTGGGCCGGTGGAGGGGGGGACCTCAACACAAAGACTATCTCTGTCCTAAAACATCAGAACATCTCATCACCTGACTTGATTCTGTCTTTACGTTGATTTTTTTCCCCTCAAAAGCAACAAATGTAACCGTTTCATTTCCTTAACGCTGAAGATATTTGTTTTCACGTACGATGAGCTTTCTGATGAACGAGGCCCTCTTCCCTTATTGATTCTGCTGAGAAACTGCTTTTTTTAGACTGCATGTTATATACCTACAGCTCAGTGAACAAAGGATGCAGTGTGTGTGCTTTCACGTGTGAACACTATTGATTTACAACCCAAACAAAAGAGACATGAAAATAATATCCATCGCAGCACAAGAAAACCAAGAAAAAACAAATCCCCCCATCTCATCACACAGGCCTGCACGAACACGCGCAGATCTCAGGGAATTTATAAATCTTTATCCTGATCCATCAGCCATTTCTACCAGATCTAATCTGAATTTGGCGAAACACGTGCACGCAGGAGTGGTTTCGGTGGGCAATCTTGGGTTTCTCTAATCACCATAATAGTATGAGCGCTCCTCCCCAGGCTCGGTCTCCATGGTCACCGCTCACACATGACAAACACACAATAAGAAGGCTGACACATGCGTCTGCACATGCTCCAATGGTTGCCACTCTAATGACGCTTCTTCTGCGCTTTCTTGTCCTCTGAATGAACACAAACAGCTGATCTCATTTTGTTTCCTCATGAATAATGCATGCTGCGGTAACTACATTAAAACCTGCACCTCAATCACTGCTGGCTTTACTTAAAAACAGGCAATCAGACTAAAAGCCATTTCAGTTTTCTGATTTTTTTTGCTTCATGCTTTTCACACTGTTCTTGGAATGAAAAGGGATAGATAAATGCTTTATATAGTGTTCTTATTTTTAGATGAAAGAATTACACCACTGATAAGTTGAAACTCAGTCTGAACACAGACCGTTTTTTATCTTGTTTTATTAATAAGGAGCTGAGTTTGAGTTTAGGGCAGATGTTCAGTCAGATCATGGGTGCAGTGTCTGAGGCGGTGTCTGGCTCAGCTCACCATCCATCTCCTCCAGCTCCTTCTCTCCAGGCTCCTCCCTTCCTCAGAACCATATCAGCATCCTCTCCTCCACCTCCTCCTCCTGTCTGTCTCTTCAGGTGCTGCTTTCAGCTACCGTTCCAGGGTTATATTGGACTGTATAGATATACAGTATGACGTGCTCTGTGAGCAAAAGGATATGAGTAAAATAGCAACGATTTGTGAATATTCACAATTTTTAAAATGTTTTACAAACTTTTTAAAACATTTTAAAATAAACCAACTGTTCTTGGGTCGTGATTAGGCTACATAATAACAACAAACCTCTTGCACTTCTCAGTTTTCCCTCTGCAGGAATTCCTCAGGAGTTGCAACATTTACCCTAAATCCAATGTCTGGAACACGCTGCATAGCCGTGCAATAGAACTTGACAGCTGCAAGTGAAAACATTTGATCAGATGATCAACAAAAAAACTCTGAATTATGTAAGAAAGGCAAACCTTGTGGAAGTTGAGGACAATAAAAATAAACTTATTTATTCATCTTTCATGTAAGATGAAGTAACATCCACATCTCGCTTATATACCAGCTCACAGAAACAATGTGGCATGAGGGATCGAGAATAACTCATCAATCTACGCATTGTGCCATTTATGCTATGTTGAAGGTGTTTTCCTTCTTCAATATTTGTATTTTCATCAACTGAACAATTATGTGGAAGCCGGGCGGGATTTGATCTGGCAACCGTCTCGCTGCAGGCAACACCTCTTGAGCCAATGTGCCACCCCAAAGGTTAAAATATTTACTTTAACAAAGCTAAAATTAAATTTTAATCTTAAAACATGTCCCTTTAGGGGCTCAATACTTACCCCCCTGCATGCAAATATTTAAAACTTTGTTTTACTTTTAGACAACTAAAAGTTTAAGTAGCCTAAATCATGCATGCTAATGATCCAAATAGTCCATTAGCATGTCCTGATGCATCTCAGTAATCCAGGTAAAAAATCAAAAAGAAAAAAATTGTATAGGTCTTCTGGACGGGTTCTTCTCTAATGAAACGTTTCGTCTCTCCTCCAAGAGACTTCTTCAGTCTGAGAGTTTCAGGCAAAAAAGGAGCAGTGTGGTTATCCTGACTGGGCTTTCCTGAAAGCAGACAGGAAACACAGACAGGATTCCATGCAACCTTCAGGTGAAAATGAAGACCCCAAACCCAGACCCAAACCAGTGGTTATTCCGTATGTTGCGGGTGTTTCGGAGAAACTGAGACGTTTATTCTCTAAACATGATGTCCCAGTGGCTTTCAAACCCCAAAACACATTACGGCAAAGGCTGGTTCACCCCAAAGATCCGGTGCCCCGGCACAAACAGAGCAATGTTGTATATGCTGTTAAGTGCCAGGAGGACTGCGACCAGTTATACATCGGGGAAACAAAGCAGCCACTGTTCAAAAGAATGTCCCAACACAGACGAGCTAATTCTAATGGCCAGAACTCTGCAGTTTTCACTCATTTACAGGCCAGCGGTCACTCTTTCAGAGATGAGGATGTTCTCATTCTTGATAGAGAGGAACGTTGGTTTGAGAGAGGAGTAAAAGAAGCCATTTTTGTGAAGAAAGACCGTCCATCATTAAACAGAGGTGGAGGCCTCCGTTTTCAGTTGTCCCCRGCCTACAGCGCTGCTATTGCCAGTATCACTCCACCCCCTGTTAACAATAAGTGTTAATTAGGTGTCAAKGATAGCCATGTGATGTGAGTATCAGTCACATGGAGGCAGGGCTTAAAAGCCTGAATTTTGCCTGAAACTCTCAGACTGAAGGTCTCTTGGAGGAGAGACGAAACGCTTCATTAGAGAAGAACCCGTCCAGAAGACCTATACAATTTTTTTCTTTTTGAGTCCATTAGCATGTTAAAACTTAGTTTTAAAATAGCTGCTTAAAGCGTTTAACGATGTAGGTGTAACACATGTGTGTAGCCTACATTCTAGAGAAAAGAAAAGAAAAGAAAAAAACAGAAGAAAATAGGGACATTAAGGCATAACTACAATCAAACTTTTTTTCAATTACCTGTGAAACCTTCTGAATCACAGCCATTTTTGTGTTCCACCACAACCACTGAACTCAGTGAATTTGGAAATACAACTGAAAATTTGGTAACAGTATAGTGTTGACTCCAGTAGTTAATGGCAATGGGCTTCAACCAAGAACCGTTCAGATGAAGTTGTGATTTATGAGAACTTGTCACATTCACAAACTTTATCRTATTGTAAGGTTTTTTCAGAGATGAACAAAATTCACAAGTGGTCCAGACCTGTTATATATTTTACGTGCAGTCAGTCTGCTGTTTATCAGACTGATTTTCTTCACTGATAACTTTATATTTCATTAGTTTGAAGATATTTTGAGGAAAATAAATCACACTCCATAATTATGTTGACAATAGGCTATTTTGTTTGAATAGTAATGTTGAGATTTCTTCAGCACATCAGCAATGCAAGACTGTCTGCTACTTTCTCCAAAGTGCCAGACATGTTTTGGAGACATTTTAAAATGCTTCAGATTCTTCAGAACCACATTTCTGACACTACTTGCATGTGAGAAGGCGTGGGAGGAGACAGTGGGGGACTGGCACATCGGTCCGGGCCGTGGCTCTTCTTCCGAATAAGCAAAAATTATTTAGCACGGTTGTTTCCCCATTTCTTCCACAAAACTTAAATTAAAAAATATTTGACCAAAGGAAAACAAGAGCAGGACTAGAGAGAGATGAATATGATTTTTATTTTTATTTCTGCGACTGTACGACCCACGGGGGACACGGCATTAACAGCAGTTGTCATTTTATTCCTTGGCTTTAGCGGGTCCTTTAATTCCACAGCTGATGCTGCTAAAAATGACAGATTTTTTTTTCTGGATCTCTGGGAGCAGGACTTCAATCTCCCAACTCGTTGAAGTTCTTCTTTTTACTTTGCTCTGTCATTTTCATGAATAGACACTTCCTGGTATGTGGGGCAGGAAGTGTAGCCTTATGGTATTGGCATCATGTTTATGCTGCTCYTTTACAACCTTTTCCTGAAGACAGAAGCGTTTGCTAAATCTGYCGTGGCATGTTCGTACGAGCCCTTCAAGTAAGAGAAATTTAAGATGAAAATACAAAAATGTTCTTCCATGAGGCCCAAGATGTTTTGAAACAAATCTGGGTCAATCATTTGGTGCTTGGTGGGGGATGAATCTCAGCTTCTGCCACACTAACTTTGAGTTGAGTATCGGTGAAAGTGGCTGAATTATAGCTACTGCTGTGATGGTTGCTTAGCTGAGCGGCCAAGATATTGAGTTAAATGTCATGGCTGGCTGAGGTTATTTGTGACCCTAAARAGAATTTTCTTTGGTCACCCTTAAGTTAGGCCCATCACCAACTAGCCACCATATAACATCTTTATTTTGTCCATGCTTCATTCTTTGTGCATTCAACAGAACTAGTTTTAACACATTAAACCAGTGTTTTTCAAAGTGGAGGCCACTAGGGGAGTGCTAGGGGGCRTCTGCCCAGAAGTTAATAATATTTGGAGGGTGATGGCATGGAAACGTTTGGAAATTCTTTAAATCGACTTAATACCAGATTGTACATCCCTGAAAATCYTATCAGTTACTTCATATTATCTCATAAATAAATAGTACTTAGAATAAAGTGTTCATTTTGGACTTATTTTCCAGTCATGTTTAGTTTTCATAATAGATTTGTGGTCTTCCTGAGATGTACAAATTATATTTTGAGCAGCAGAAATGAATACATTTAACAGATTACAATCTGGGATAACAAACACTGATTCAGTGTGCAACCTAAACTAAAATTCTCGTGTTTCATAAAGMTCAATCCTGAACTCCTCTGCATGTAAAGACACAGGCTACTCAACAGCACCACCTAGTGTCTGTAAAGTTCAGGAGCAGTTGAGTGAAGGCCACCATCCTACAAGCTTTACACGTTTCTGCAGAGCCTGAAGAGGTAATCCAATCACTAAATCAGGTGTGTCAGAGAAAGGAAACAAGGTTATTTATTTTTATTTTATTAATAACTTGTAAAACATGAAGGATGAGTCTCGGCTGGCTGAGGAGATACGTTTTCATCCTTCYTGAAAGATAAAAATATTGAGAATTGGATTGCACTTTTTGTTGAGAAAGATTTTTAGCTTGGGCTGTGTATAAATAAATACAAAAAAACAGATTTCCTACTTGCTCCAGATATGTTTCTGCTTGTTCACTCTATTTAATGTTTCTTGGCCAAATTCCTAAAATACTTTAACTTAGCCTCAGCCTCCCCCATGCAAACTATTCACAAACTTGCCAACAAAGTAGCTATCACAGCAAASTGTTAATTTAACTCACAGAGTGTTAAATTTAACACTTTTCCTGAGTTTATATAATTCTCATAGATTCTAAGTTAAAATTACACTTTTAAAAGTGTTATTTAACACATTTAAAGTGTTAATATTCACTCTTTAATAGTGTTAAATTTTTGACATCCACTGGTGTTCTTTAATTACACTCCATAAGTGTAACTTTTAAGTGCACTTTTAACTCAAAATTGTTATTCTCTTCCATGGTTAATGTTAAAATGTTAACATTTATTGTGTGAATTATATTCACTCTTTAATAGTGTTAAATATTTGACACCCACTGGRCTTTAAATACACTGCATAAGTGCACTTTTAACTCAAATTGTGTTATTCTCTTTAACAGTTCATGTTAAATTTAAACATTTGTTGTGTTAATTTATGACACGCTAGGAATTTCTTTCAACATTGGGATCGTGTACTTTAATTACAGTAAGATATTTATTGTTTTTCAACAAATATAAGGTGCATACTGCACATAGTAGCCTAAGATCAGTGTAAGATTACACTGTAGACTACAGAGCAGGTTGCACTCTATGTRAAAGTTGAGATCAACTTTTCTWAGGTCMGRAAAAAGCTTRGCATTGTCGACTGTASSTTCACACACCAGAAAGTACCTCTCACTCATGGTGTCGATTTGTGACCAATAACACAAACTTAAACTTGAGCAACTAACTAACCGGAACCAAACACCTAACCAGATCTACTCATTTTTACACTCATGAACTTCTTTAATAGTCATAAACATGCAAACACATCATTTCTACAAGATTACCCAYCATRCCTTGCTTTGTTCACGTGGCATGAGGTGGAAGAGGGAGGGGCTTTTCAGAATCAACACTACATGGTGTTAAATAACAACACTGTTAAGTGTTATATAATACTGTATATAACACTTTTAAGTGTTACTTAACAGCGGGCGGAGCTTATTTCTCTCCAGAGTTAAGACAACACTGGTGAAATTAACTCTGCGAATTAACATTAACAGTGGCTGTCAGTTAACTCAGAAAGTGTTAAAAAAAATCAACTCTGAAAAGTTTAACACTGGAATTTTAACACTGGTTTTTGCTGTGTACAAATGTGAAAGCAATGTCTGCAAGCGACATTCTGTCTGTTGACACCATAAAAACATATTTTACTTTGTGGCTTGTAGAAAACTCAAGCAATAAAATCAGCATTRCCAGCAAAATGTGTAAGGCTATGATTTTTTGTTGTTGTTGTTGTTGTTTGTTATTTAGTTCATTGCAACAGAACAAGCAAACAACATTTRAAATTTGAAAATATTATTTTACACAATTGACAGTTATGGGTATGATATTGTTAATTAAAAAGAAAACAATTGAAATTTACTGGGATATTAGAAAAACTAGATTAAACAAGAAAGTTGCCTCAATAACTTCAAGATGGTAAAATAAACAACAGAAGTCTTAAAAACAACGTTATAATTATATTTTTTTACATGGCCCCTATTTTTATATTATTCTTTTCTCTACTTGATCTACGAAAGCATGTTAAAACACTGCATGTTTGACACTAAAATGTTCAACTTGTGAAACTTTTTGTCTGTAAAGAGCGCTGATTTTATCAAAGAGTATTTCAGCTCAAGAGATGTACCTATTCATTACTTCCGCCTTTGTTTTCATTAAAGAATTTTAATAAAAACAAAGGCGGAAGTTATGTACAGGTACTGCTCTAGCAGTACCTGCGCATCACTTCCGCCTTTGTTTTTATTAAAATTCTTTTCGTATCTTTGCATTTTAACATAACATAAAATATTTTGTGCAAAGTTTATTTCTGAACTTNTACGAAAGCATGTTAAAACACTGCATGTTTGACACTAAAATGTTCAACTTGTGAAACTTTTTGTCTGTAAAGAGCGCTGATTTTATCAAAGAGTAATTATATTTTTTACATGGTCCCTATTTTTATATTATTCTTTTCTCTACTTGATCTACGAAAGCATGTTAAAACACTGCATGTTTGACATTAAAATGTTCAACTTGTGAAACATTTTGTCTGTAAAGAGCACTGATTTTATCAAAGAGCATTTCAGCTCAAGAGCAATGCCTGCACATCACTTTCGCCTTATACCTAATAAAAACAAAGGCGGAAGTGATGTGCAGGGACTGCTCTAGCAGTACCTGCACATCACTTCCGCCTTTGTTTTTATTAAAATTCTTTTCGTATCTTTGCATTTTAACATAACATAAAATATTTTGTGCAAAGTTTATTTCTGAACTTAAAAGTTATTTTGACTATTAAAATGTTTGAAAAATATCGTGGGGTAAAAAAAAAAAAACATTATTTGTGATTTGAACGCAACATGGTGCGATTTCGGTCTCCAGAAAAAAAAAAAAAACATCAGCTTCGTTCCTTACCAAAATGTTGGCTAATGACTGATAAGACGTTCAGTTGCGTGGAGTTAATAGCAAACATCTAAACACATATCTTCCTTTTTAAAATCTTTGGCATCTTTGCCGCCTGAGGAGAACAGCAACAGTGATTGAGGAAAAACGAGAATTGTTCAAAATATCGCGAGACTTTTGTCCAGCTGCCTGACGAGAGGGCCTAGCTTGTAAATTAATTTACGTTTTGTAGTCGGCTCACCGGTTAATAACTGTGCATTTTAAGCGACTGCTCGGTCCCATTAGCTGAACATGGACTCCAAATGTTTGGCTATGGGCTGCTTTCGGACTGAAGCGGGGAGGGTGAGTATTTTATTTTATTTTATTTTTTACTGTGGAGGAGTTTGGATCAGCTGTTTTCTCTGTTTTCTCTGCAGCATAATGAGTGTTATTGCTAGCAGTAGTAGGCTGGGCTAAAATTAAAGCTTCTACACTGCTGCCACAGTTAGTGATTATTAACCTGTTTGACCATGTCATCCTCAGAGCWATCGTTAAATATTAACAAAACGCTCGGGTGGATGTTGTTGTAGCGAAGTCATTCAATCTGAACGAGTTAAGTTAACATTTCGTAAACTAAATTCCACCGAACACAGATTCATTCTTGCTTTCAGTCCTTGTGCTGTAAAAATTACTCTCTTTAAAACTGCTGCTTCATTAATAATTCCCAAATTTCCCTTTACATCATTCTGTGCCACTGGAAAATCAAAACATTATCTTTTTTTTAGCCACTTCAGTAGAAAAAAAACTAATATTCTTTTCTGTTTTTTACTGAAAATAGAACTTAATATTAGTTTCATTAGCTTCATCATCACTGATGATGAAGAAACTAATATTCATTTCTGTTTTCTACAGAAGAGGCTAAAAAAATTAAATGCTGCATTGCATGAAACTAGTTAGATTGCTTAAAATGAAGTCTTCTGCAGTTGCCAGAGAAAAATCTGGTTGCATTCTGCAGTACAAAGTAAACACATGTTTTCCCTCCTAATTATTACCTGCCTTTCAAGGATAACATGGAAGGACGAGCATAATGAACAGATACACCACCATCAGACAGCTCGGGGATGGCACCTACGGCTCGGTCATCCTCGGCCGCAGTCTGGAGTCGGGAGAGCTCGTGGCTATAAAAAGGTGAGCATCCAAACATTTGCCGTGATGCCAAATAGAAAAGACTTTGTCTAAAGATGATCCAAAATATKTACTTTTCAGAATGAAACGCAAGTTCTACTCCTGGGAAGAGTGCATGAACCTCCGAGAAGTCAAGGTGAGCGTTTGTTTTTAGAACAGAGCAAATTTGGGTCAATTCTGCCCAAAAGAAGATTTGTTTTGTTTTATATGTTGTGAGGTGATAATTCAAAGCTTTCTGTCCTTTTCTTCATACTATTTTAACGTTACCCTCCAAAATTAGCTCACACAAGCTCACAGGGCAGAAAGGTGATTTCTTGCGTGCTGCAGATTTTGAACCCCTGCCTCTTCCCCACCCGTAGAGCTTAACCTCGGCACAACAAACTATGTGAAGAACACGCTTAGACTCCTGCTAAGTGGATCACAATTACAGCATGTCGACTAAATCTTCAAGTCCTGCTACGGCCGCTGCCCCTTTTACTAAAACGTAGCATGGACAAATGTCACACCAGTGCATGGGGAAGACTGCGTTTTTTTCCCTTCCTGTTATTGAGTTTCCCTTTTTAAAACGTTTCATTCATTCATTCTTTCCCAAAAAATTCACATTTCTACACTGTATTTAAATTAGGGTTTGGAATTAATAGACCTGTTTGCACTATCCAGCATGGCCAAGTTTATTAGTGTTATGATTATTGCAGGTTGCTGACACAAATGTGTTTTTTATTCTTTCAGTCGCTAAAGAAACTCAACCACGCAAACGTGATCAAACTTAAGGAGGTGATTCGAGAAAATGATCACTTGTACTTCATATTTGAGTACATGAAGGAAAATTTGTATCAGCTAATGAAAGATAGGTGAGTTGTTATTTTTTAAAGTACATGTTAATGAAATAAAATTTTARTTTTGACTTTTTTTTTCTTCTTGCTGCAGGACACGTTTGTTTCCCGAATCGGCTGTCAGAAACATCATGTTTCAGATACTGCAGGGACTTGCGTTCATTCACAAACACGGTATGTGTGTTTGACAACCGGAGGTGCTAAATAAAGAGTCGGTACGAGTGATATTCAATCATACCAAGGAGTGGAGGTTCTGATGCATTGTGTCTCTGTTAGGGTTTTTCCACAGGGACATGAAACCAGAGAACCTTCTGTGTATGGGTCCAGAGCTGGTGAAAATAGCTGACTTTGGGCTTGCCCGAGAGACCCGATCTCGACCACCGTACACAGATTACGTCTCAACCAGATGGTGAGGTTTTTTGTTGTTGTTGTTGTTTTGGTAAACGTAATGCATGGAGGCTTTGCTGAAATGAAAGGGTGTTGAAGTGTTGGTTTTGGACCAGGTACAGAGCTCCAGAGGTGCTGCTCAGGTCTACGTCCTACAGTTCGCCCATAGACCAGTGGGCTGTCGGCTGCATCATGGCGGAGCTATACACCCTCAGGCCTCTTTTCCCAGGATCCAGTGAAGTAGACACCATATTCAAGATTTGCCAAGTCTTGGGTACACCAAAGAAGGTAACGGAAGCAGGAAGAAACGGAAGCACACAAAAAACACCTTTTTAAATGTCAAAATGTGTTTCTGTTAAAGGGATCCAGGATTAGTTGTAACATTAGACTTTATTTGATAAACATTTATTTTAATAGTAAAATAAAGATTGTAAAAATACTGTAGGCTGTTTTTTAGTTTTGTAAATTTTTAAAAAAATGTTTTAACACGGACGGAGCCATTTGATTTACACACAAAGCATTCTGGGTAAATGATGACGTGGATAGGTCCTCGGTGTGAGCGAGCTATATGCACCCTGAAGGTTAATCTTGGACAATATCTGATGATCGACTCTTTTAAATGAAACCAGAGAGCGTTGACAGAGAGGAGAAGGTAGAAATGACTCAGCCTGTAAGTGAAAATATGGATGGAGGACAACAGAGCTGCTTCATGGAAGAAGAACCTCAGCTTAGCCTGTTAGCTTTAGCATTAGCGAAGACGCTATATTGACTTATATGTATTAGCTCAGTGCTAGCGCGACAAACAAGCGAAACTGAGATCCTCCGTCTATATTTTCAGTCGCAGGCTGAGTTATTTTTGCGTTACCCTCTCTGTCATGTGGATGGAGGACCTCAGTGACAAGAGGAGAATGTGTAGCACTGAGCTAATACATATATATGGTGATAGCGTTGGGGCTAATGCTAAAGCTAACAGGCTAAGCTGAGGTTCTTCTTCCATGAAGCAGCTCTGTTGTCCTCCATCCATATTTTCAGTTCCAGGCTGAGTCATTTCTACCTTCTCCTCTCTGTCAACGCTCTCTGGTTTCATTTAAAAGAGTCAGCCATCAGATATTGTCCAAGATTAACCTTCAGGGTGGATATAGCTCGCTAGCAGCCTCGCACCGAGGACATATCCATGTCATCATTTARCCAGGATGCTTTGCGTGTAAATAAAATGACTCTGTCCATGTAATATATTTTTTAACTTTTAAAAACTAAACAGCCTACAGTATTTTTACAGTCTTTATTTTACAATTAAAATATATGTGTATCAGAATCAGGTTTATTGGTCAAGTATGTTGACAAACGCAAGGAATTTGTTTCCGGCTGTTTGTGTCTTTCTAGTATTAACACTGTACAGATACTTTACATATAATAAAGTATAACTTACAACTAATCCTGGATCCCTTTAAAGAGCACAAAATCTGTTGTGAGTTCCATGTTTATTATGACACGTAGCCTTGTGTTCTTCGTTTAGACTGATTGGCCAGAGGGATACCAGCTAGCGAGTGCCATGAATTTCCGTTGGCCTCAGTGTGTTCCCAATAATCTGAAGACACTGATCCCAAATGCTAGTCCTGAAGCCATCCACCTGATGATAGACCTGCTTCAGTGGGATCCCAGGAAGAGACCGGCCTCTGCTCAGGTAGCATCTGCCTCTTAGCGTCTTCGCAGCCGCGCCAGCGGAATAAAAACTAAAGCTGGATCGTTTTCCTCAGGCTCTCAGGAATCCGTACTTCCACGTGGGCCAGGCTTTGGGCACCCCTCAGCAGATCCTGGAGCAGGGCAGACCTCATCCGGGCCTTGTGCATCTGCAGACTCCTTTACCGTCACAACAAACTCTGCTGCTGAAGCCGATGCCCCCATCCCAGCCTCCACCTTCTAACCATCACTGCCCGTCGTCCAGGCCTCTCCAGCAGATCCAGCCCTCCCCTGCACCAGCAGCTGCCCAGGCGGCGGCGGCGGCGGCGGCGTACCAGCGGCACACAGAGCTGGTGCGAGAGCAGCATCAGCCGAATCACATCCAGGATCAGACGGAGCCGATCCCACAGAGCCACCTCCCTTACATCGTGGACAAGAATCTGCAGAGCAAGGTGAGCACACCTGCTAGTTTTTCCTGACGTGATGACTGTTACAACTTGCACTAGCTTCATCTAAAACCAGAAAGAAGAATGATTCCTTTAAAGAGGAAAACACCCTCTGATGTCGATCGCTTTTGCAGCGAACCCAGCAGGAGTCGGACAACGCAAACCTGCTTAATTATACGAAACCTAAAGGAGGCGGGCGGCGGCGCTGGGGACACGGAAACGGACATCTCAAAGGAGCAGACTGGGATAATTATGAAGAGACCGATCTGTCCTCGATGAGTATTCTTAAAAAGAATAGCTTTTCTGAGAAGTCGAGGCAGGGAGAGGATGCTTTGAGCAGGTAAAGCTGGTCCGTTAATCGAGTCTTTTTGAATATGAAATGCCATCAACATGTGATTATAACCGGCWTCTTCTCGTGTCCCAACAGGTTTGGAGATGTTCTGGATTTCAGTCGGCCCAATGGGAAGGAAGACGCACCTTTAAATCTGAACAAAACTGCAGCCTATCAAGAGCCGTCAAGAACTGCCTCCGCCAAACAGCATTACCTGAGGCAGTCCAGATACTTGCCTGGTAAAAAAAAATACTTCCTTTTCTGTTTTTGAGAAATGTATTTTCAGATATATCTGAAATATCTGTATGAGGACTGAATATAACTTTCATATCAAATTTTYATAGCAATATTTATTATAGTCCAGAATGTACCTGGGCTTTAATAAGTATAGTACTTACTGGGTATACTGCCTCTGCAAAATATTTGGTACATACCAGGTATGTATCTATTGTGTATATGTATGTACTGGGCATGGACCTGATAAGTATTCAATAAATACCAAGTAGGTACCTGGAACTCAGCTGGTATGTACCAAATACTTATCAGGCATCTGCCTGGTACTTACCCAGTACATGCCTGGGAAGTACCTCATACTTACCAGATATTTGCCTAAATCTTCCTGGGTATTTACCGGTTCTGTGCCTAGTATTTCCTGGTTAAATACTGGGATATATCATGTATTTATATCATGCATTATTGCATTATGCATTATTAATATTATTATTATTTTTAGCCACTTCAGTAGAAAACAGAACTGTTAGTTTCTTAATTTTTGCATCATCAGTGACTTTTCTTTTCCTTCTTCAGGCATTAGTACCAAGAAGAATGTGGCCATAAATGCCAGTCAAGACTACATAGGAAGGCATCTTTGGGGCGGCAGCAGCATTCCGTTTGGAGGGACTCTGCCGAGCAGAGGAGCTCACGGTAACYTCACCGTAACCCATTTAACTTCTTGTTGTCAAACAAAATGTAGAGAAAATKATTTTTGCTTTGCTTATCAGGCACAAACACAATCCCAGGTGGATACATGCCATCAGTTTACAAGAAGGACAGCAGCTCTGCTGGTCTCAGAGGGCATCAGGGTGTTTCAGTAGAAACGGCATCAAGTGAGTTTGATCAAACCTTTTACACAAAACATTTTGATATCGATTTATGTATTTTTTTATTATTGTGAATTTACTGCTGTTTTAGATTATGCAACTTGGCGGTCTGGTCGGAGCCAAATGAACCCCTCGGCCAACGTGCCAACAGGCAACAAGAGCACATCCAGTCTGCTGCCTCGCCCGCCATTACAGACCATTCATGGGCGCCCAGACTGGACTGCCAAATATGGACACCGTTAGTGGCCTGCCTCCAGCTCTGATTGGTTCTCTGAGAACTCTTTCACTTCCAAAGAGTAGGCCTAGTTGTTTTACAATCTGTAATCTGTAAATAAACCTTACACGGCAGCAATAAATTTTGTTTTATTTTGTGTACTTTGGATGCCATGAGTTGTAAAATATTAACAGTTTGTACATGCCAGAATTCAAGCAAAGCCCTTTTTTTTCAGTAATATAACTACCGTCAGTGGAGAGGTCACACTTCAYTTTTGTATTTGAATGTTGTTTACTCTATATATACAATAATATGCATATACTGTARCATTATGAAACCTGCACTGTGATTCATTTTTGACTGATTACTTGTTTTTTACTTTGTTCTGTTATTTTTAAAGAGAGTTGGTTTGTTTTCTATGCTTTCATGTGAGCAAGGCTTTAATTTATAACTTGACAAATTGCAGGTGCTTGCCATATTGTACTGCTCTTTTTTCAGTTTCTGCATTTAAAATGAAATAATTCGGTTCAGTTTTGCCAAACTGAATAATCGCTGCAAGTGAAAGTATACCTTTGCATGATTTATGCATAAAAATAACTGTTTAAAACATTGAAGTCAACAAGTGTTGAATGTTATTTTACAAGCTTTTTTCATGTATAATTCTTAATTCTAGTAATTTGAGCTGAGCCACTAGAATGATCTATTTCTGGGGATTATTTCAGTTGTTGGTAAACATAAAAAAGGTCATAACTCAGTCAGTTTTACAGATATTAAACTAACATTTTGGGTGGTAGTAGCCGGATGTCATGCCCAACACATAACTCTAAGCACTTATTGAGTTAGCAAAATATTTRYCAAACCACTGGACAATTTTTGATTAAATTTCTAATTCATTACCTTTTGAACTCAGCAGAATTCAATATGGCTGCAGCCTCAGTCAATACAAAAATAGGTTCAAAACTCAGTCGATTTTACACATATTAAGCTCAAATTTGGTGTGGCAGCAGCTGAGAGTTATCTTTAACATATAAGCTCTGACAAAACATCTCGCAACATTGTGGGAAATGACTCATCTCATCATAAAATTATCTCATTTTAAAAGTACCTTTTAAGGCWAACACACCGGGTCTTATCTTATCTTATACTGGGTATGAGATTTGCCAAATAAGGAAGTATTTGAGCATATGTACATTTATAGTCATGAAGGAAACAGCTCCTAAAACATGAAATAATAACAATGTTTTCATATCAAGATTTCTACTTATAAATGACACCACCAGCTAAGGTAACTGTCAACTAATGCCATTGCTAATAGCTATTATTGTATTTTATTGTGTATATATTATGTATTTATATATATAAATATATATTAATTTGAAATTATGTATAATTTAGAAAAAATTTAAGATTAAGATTTAAAAAGTAAGGCAGACTGCCACGTGCAGCGCCGCATTTGGATGTGTCTGAGGCATGGAGCTTGACTTCCCTACGTTTCTCCTTTTGGCCTTGAGCTTGTTTGGAGTTTCTAGCAGGGGAGCGCAGCTACTGGTACACCGAAGGTTGGAGATCCTACGTCGTCCGCTGCCACCGAGCGCAGAGCTTCGGGAGGGACACATATGGAGCAGTGAGGGAGGAAGGGGACACCCGCCTAGCCAGCCAGATCAGCCGAATCAACCCTAGCGATCAATGGGGTGACAGATGTCGCAGCCAGATCGCCCTCACATCCGAATGAAGCAAGATGGCTGACATCTATATAAAGAGAGAGTTACAGTGAAGCTCTGCATCCTGGTTTAACTCTCATAAAATATTCTCCGTAACGACTGAAGTTTGCCTAAATAATCTAAATTTATGACTTTTTCACAATTTAACGCCGTTTTTGTAGATAAAAAAGTAAAAAATATACCCCGTTTAACGTTTTACCCATGATGCTCCATGTAAGAAAACCGTGTATCTATTGGTCAATCCTGACCAATCACAGACGTCAAAAATGTTAACACGCCTTTAACTTTTTTTTTTTTTCCTTCCCTGTTGTGAACATGATATAACGCGAGTGAACGCCCCTAACTCTCACTTCTCTGTCAGGTATGAATGCAGATCAGGAGAAACTTGTTTGCATTTGTATTAATTAGTGTGTAAATAATTTTTTTTAACTTTCTGTTATTTTTAGGTTTCACAGAGTTTGGACACTTTGCTTACAGCCATGTCTGGAAGAGTTGCTCTGCACTATTTCAACGGGAGGGGGAAAATGGAGTCAATCCGTTGGCTTCTGACTGTTGCAGAAGTGGAGGTGAGCAAATGAAAAAGAAAATGTAAATCTCTGCTTGGCTTTTTTTTTTAATACCCATTCATGAGCACAAATTCTATTTTTTTAATCTTCACAGTTTGATGAGTATTTCCTGACAACCAGGGAGCAGTACCTCAAGCTCCTGGATGGTGAGTTACATTAGACCTTTACTGTCAGAGCACAATGAAATTACAGTGAATGAAGTGAATGTCAGCTCACAGTGGGTGGATACTTTTGTTGACCTGTGTCCAACTTTTGTGCGATTGCAACATTGCAGCAGGTCAACGATTTTAGGAAATCCGCATTTTTCTGACTGGGATAGTGAGGCTCTGGATGTGGTAATTTCATTCTTTTCTGCAGGGAGTGGCGCTCAGCGTGACCCTGTTCTGTGTTTTCTCTGCAGACGGGGCTCTCATGTTTCAACAGGTTCCCTTGGTGGAAATCGATGGCCTGAAACTTATACAGACAAAAGCAATCTTGCATTACATCGCGGAGAAGTACAATTTCTTTGGGAACGATATCAAAGAACGCGCCATGTATGTTCCTGTTCTTTGACGTGATAACGTCGGGTTCTTTTGATTGATAATTAATAAAACTATATATTTAGGATCAACATGTACTCTGAGGGACTCATGGATCTTATGGAGATGATGATGGTGCTGCCCTTCGTCGAAGACCCCAAACCAAAACTTGACAACATTCAAACTAAAGCAAAAGATCGCTACCTGCCTGTGTTTGAAAAGGTACGAGCCTGTTTGCTTTTTTTTTCCCTTTCTAAATGATAACTAAAACATTTGTGTGTCTAAAATCTCAGGCGCTGACGGGACCTGTTTACCTGGTGGGAGGTAAGCTCAGTCTTGCAGACGTGCTGCTGCTCGAAGCCACCTTGATGCTGGAGGAGAAGTTTCCTGCGATCCTCGCCGACTTTCCCAGCGTCAAGGTAAAGGTGTTGTTTAAGAGCGTCATAAAAAAAAAGTCTCACTTATCTCTTACCTGCCGGGCTTAACGTTGTCTTTCTGTGTTCCTGTCCAGTCTTTCCAGGGCAGGATGCGTCAGATCCCAGCCGTCAGCCGGTTCCTGCAGCCGGGCAGCAAGAGGAAGCCGCAGCCAGATGAGCATTACAAAGAGACGGTCCTGAAAGTGTTCAACATCACCGCACCGTTTCTATAAACTCATCAAAAGGATGTGATGTTCTTAAATTACAAGATTTGTGATTCCTAATTACCGTACTGACACGAGTCCCAGTGACTCAATTATGGTACAATTAAATACTGCACAATCAAATATGAATAGTTAATTTTCTACTGTTTTCTAACAATACTGTGATGATTTTAACTAAATAAATAGATGTTTTTTGGGGAAACCTTTGAGAAGTTGGTGTGTTTTGTTTGGTTACTTTATCTTCACCTTTTTTATACAAAAAAACACATTCTAAAGGTTTTAAACTAAGATCATATAAGAAACTAAGTGGTTATATTGTGGGAGCTGTTAGCACGTGTTAATTACTTAATTTGAGCTGAATATCTAAAGTTGGTGGAGTTCTAAAAGGTTTTGATAAAGCTGATTCTGACTCCAAAGGTTAACACAAAACATAATCATCCACCTTTGCCATTTGGTGGTGAGTAATCAAAAAAGCAAACACACTGTAAATTAAATCTGTTTAATTAGATTTTACGTCAGTACAAAATCCCAAACACAACATTAAGAAAACATGTGACAGATTTAATACTTTCATTAAAATGCTTTTTTTGTTCTGTAAAAGTTTTTAGCTTAACATCTGATTTTGTGGATACATGCTTAATCCTCTCAACCAAGGACTAATTCATGTAAAAAACTCAGGTAAAAGAAGAAATCCTCTTCGTTTATTCCAGAGCCACAGACTTAAAGTTCCCTTTAAAGCTTGTTCTCACACCACGACCAGGAGCAAAAGGCGGAACACCATCAATAAACTGTGGGGGAGAAGGCAAATAAATGAAGAAAACCACTGATTCAGCAAAATGTTTCTCAGCAGTTTGATTGCATAAGCAAAAATTTTCTCATTGTGCAATTTAGATCCCGACCTCAGCCCTGAAATAATGCCTGCYGGCATCAGTTTCCCAGACTTCTTGTATCTCAGTCCCATCACAACTGAGAGAACTCCAGAAGCAACTGGAAGAACATCACATGATAAATTAAATTGAAATAAAAAACATTTTTTTAAAGCTCTGCTAACTACYGTCTCATAGAGGCATACTTACGCAGAGACACCTGGATGTTCTTTGGATCATTGGAAATGTTATAAGCTCCATAAGCAGACAATCCACCAAAAACCAAACCGGCTATCAGGGACATGACGCTGGCTGCAACGRGACAAAAACAAAGGGTGAAATAATTAACTTTTGCTGGGATTTAAATGTAACCTAAACAAAAAAATTTTTAACCTTTTCTTTTGTAGCCCATAAATCCTCCAAAAACAATGGTTGCAGCATAACCAAATCCAATCCAGTCCATTTCAAGGAAACAAGCTGTGAAACATTAAAATATGTTACATAAAAGATGTTACATAAAGATCAAATCCAGTGAAATATAAAAGTGATCCAGTTTAACCCWGGAGATTCGTTTTGTCAGATCTCTCATAAATGTTTAACAAGAATGGGCTCACCCACAGAAATTCATACAGGAAAGACACAGACTATATTGTTTTTCTTAGCTTAATTTAATCTATATGAATTTAATTGTGGTGGAACTAATACTTTTATGTTTCAGCAAGTAATTCATGACATCCTTTAATGACCTAGGTTTTCATGACATGCTGTTCATCTGCAGACAGAATGATTAAAGTCAGAACAAGCTTTGCTAACAACAGTCATTCTTAGATATCNCACAGAGACAGGCCAGGTTGTTCTCTGTGTTTCCTATTGTTGCAATAAAACTCAGCTGATCATCCCACGGAGTACCTTCATTCTTGGACCACMTATTTCTGTCTTTYTTAAATAAAWATTACCATAACATTAATGATTCAAGGAATTAAAATCGATGAAGTGAACGTGACAAACCGCCAGATGTCGCTGTTAGCCTTTCAGTAACTGAAGTACTAAAATCAAAACAAAAAAATACTTCGTCTACAAACATAAATGCACAACCTTAAAAATACATAAGCTTATATTACCTTTAATACACAGTTACTTTTTTCGTCGTGGTATATTTTACATACCTGCAGTCCAAACACAAGACAAACGACAGCAGCTTTCGCGATTTGCACTTCCTTATCTCTTCCCCCCCAACTCTACTGCGCATGCGAGATTGAGTTTATGTGGTGTTCACGGACTGGAATTAGAGTTGGACAGAAAGAACTCACAAAGGGGCATTTTTATTTATTTATTTATTTCTGGCCTGAAGTAAATGTCTTGTCATCTCTTAATATTAAAAAAATGTTTTATATGAATATTCTGCACCCTTTTGGTGTCTGTAAGCATCATTATTCTTAATGGTAAATAGGCCTTCTTACATTATACACTGTTGTAAACAGGGAAATAGCAAACCACTTTTTGTAAATTTTGTTACTGATTTCTTTGTAACTCTCAAAAAAATAAGATCCATTAAAATGGCTAAAAAGCTTTGTGATGTTTCCAGTCATAGTTTCTTTATCTTCCTTAWTTTAGGTCATATGCTTCTTTATGAATTTTTTACTCTTTTTTTCCCAATCCCTTTGCAAGTTTTGTAAATTTGTGGATGTCAATTTTGTACCCATTTTGCAAACTTTTAGTTTAAAAAAAGTTGAAAATAAAAAAGCCTGGACAGTATTTATTCTGTAATGTTAAAAAGTGAACCCAACTACCTGTTAAGTGTTTTTTTTTATCAGTGTTACAATTAGACCAGTTCAAACTGAGATGACCAATAAACCATATCATCCATCCATTTTSTGTACACATTTATTCCTTCCAGGGTCTCGTAAGGCTAAATATCAAACTTCGCAGGTATCAAATGACATATTATTTAAGTTCGCAACATTGCAAATGTTAAAAAATAAACAGGTTTGGTTTAAGAAAATATCTTTTTCTAATAAAAATGTTTCCTTTGCTTAGGTTTGCAAAGGTTCATCTAAGAAKTCAGAAAATCTCAGTTTCGGATTGAAAAATAAAAAAAGATGTTCATTCAATGACTTTTTGAAGTTGCATGTCTGTTAAGGTTTTAAATTATTTGTAAAACTTTTCATTTCATACATCTGCGCAATAAAATTACCTTTTCTGATTCACATCAAACTGAGTCAACACTTGGGTGGCTTCTTTTACATGCGTCCAGGTAATTAACAGTGAGTAAACAGTTGTAGTATAGTTGAAAATAAATAAACTTAGTCTTTCCCAAAAAAAGCATCTTTATTTAATTCTGACCCCAGCTTCCACATAATACAGTCATTAAAGGTTTCATCTTTGAATAATAGTTTTCATAAAAGTGTAAATCAAAGCATTTTTTAGAGCATAATAAGCCACCAGGAGCTGTAGACAAAGTGACAGAAAGCTGTGGAGCTTCYGCTCCAGCAGAGCGCCTCCATACCGTCACCCGGTGGAGAAGAGACGCTGTGGCCTCCCCCACGAAAGAGAAGGCACACGTTTCCAAAAACACTTGGCATTTAAATACTGTCTACAGAGTTTCCTGATAAGATACAGTCTGGTATTCTCAGCATTAAAAATATACTATAAAATGGCTGACAAGGATTTTTGTTTTTTGGAAAGATTATTCAAATGAGGTATAGGAGGGACAAGTAAAAACCAAAAGATTTTTGTAGGACTGACGTGATAAAAACGTAAGACTAACTGTAGAGAAGTACAAGATGGCTTAAAAGTAACAAGGAAAACGCAAATGTCTCGTTATGGTAAACAACAACAGACAAAGTGCAATTCACAATAGGGTAATGTAATACAAATGGCTTTGAGTGCACAGAAACGATGCGATGTTATACCACGGCTTCGTCAGCTTGTTATTAGGTAGATATTTTCATGTCAACTGTAACACAAGTTTACAAAGAAGAAAATTTATATATTAAAAGTAAGAAATACAAATACTCTCAAAAGAATCCAGAGAAATAAAACAAGCAATGATTTACTTGAAACACACAAACACACCAGCTTTTGGCAATGACTTCAAGGATCAAATAATATTTTACATTGGTAGAACACGTTTGCATTTTTAAAACAGATGTAAGCTCAGTGAAAAAGTTACTGTGCTCAAAACAAACAAAAAAAAAAACAGAACAGATTGATTTTTATGAATGAATGTGTTTTTACGGCTACATTCACTGTCAAGAAAAAAAATCTGCATTTCTGGTAAACAATGCAGCTGGTGTCACGTTCAGAGGACTGCGTGCTGGTCGTTTTCTTCTACCAGTGTAAAAACCTCACTTTATGTGAGAAAAGTGCATAATCCTCCTGATGTGGGACTTGGCATAAAAACATCATAACCATTATCATTTAGTCAGTGCACTTAATTGGAAARAAAAGAAAAACTTGGCTTAAATTAAAAAAAAGTTTTAAAACTTGCCAATGATTTATGAAGCATGCATGAGTACTAATTTGAAGAAATCTACTGAGGGGTTATTTTTTTTAAAAGAATGATTTAGATATTTTTAATTTATATTTAAAGGAGGGTCTTTTAAATTTGAATATGATTTTTCTTATAACGTCAGGCTGAAAATTAAAAAACACCACAAAAAGGTTCAAGTAGCTCAAAAAGTTTTAACGTTTCTCAGCGTCACCAGCTGAACAGTTAGAACTTTTGTAAAAAAAAAAAAAAAAAAAGGTACCGCTCTGCATGGAACACATTGTGAGTTGTTGCAACCCAGGAAAGTGGCACCTCTTTCTGAGTTTGTGTCTCATCGCGTCAGCCTCCCCTCCTCGTCGCGGTTTTTAAGGAAAAATGTTGACCCACAGCCAGCCCAACAGCGTCCCGTAAACCCAGGTTCTCACGTAAAGTATCCTGCCGCTCTCCGTCAGCAGTAATGGCAGTGTGAGCCCCCCCAAGATGAGCAAAGATGGGAGGGTCTTGGAGAGACTCAGCGGAGAGACTTTGCCCTCTCCGGGAAACCTGAATTGTTTCGCTGGATCTTGCGACTGGTAGAAATCTGTCAAAAGCCTTTAAAGTAGAAAAAAAAAACATCCTTTAGGAARTGAAGCTGTTAAATAAATGACATCAGGATTTTTCTTTTCGAGCAGTCGCAGCACAAACACTGAACCCAAAGAACATCAGAGCTTTTTGTTGCTGGGTTGGCAATAAAATCAATATCTTGTTCACATCAGCAGACTGGTTAGGAAATAACTTCTCAAACAAAACAAAATAAAAAAATTGAGTTGTACGAAATCTTTAATAGCTGAAAATGACTTTTTCCAAATAGTTTATTTCAGAAATATTTTAAACTAAAATAACTAGTTCAAGGATCTCTTAAAATAAATCCAAAATCAGAATATTGCTTAAAGCCAACAGAAAAAATTTAATATGATTTTCTGTATATTTTTTTATAAACTGATGCCTGTGGCCTAATAATTAGAAAACACACAGCAGCATGATGTCTTACGCTTGTCAAAATTTAATACAATCAAATTCAAAAATACTTTATTGATCCGAGAGAGAAATTCTGTGTTGTTGTAACTCATTTAACTAAAGAGTTATTGTAGATGCTGTGGGCAGGAAAGATTTTAATTAACAATACACTTAAAGTTTATTTTTTTATATGAGCTTTTATCGACAGATGCTCTCTGATCACATCTACTTATTGTGAAATCAAAATGGGGATGTTTTTTTAAGGCTGAACTGAGTTACTGATTAAACGTTAAAAGATGATTAAAACTAAAGATCAATGTTTACTGGAGTGAACTTTGTGATATAAAACAGGGCGTGATCCAGATTTTAAAAAAATATACAAGGTGAAGGAAGAGATATGTTCTTTGAGTCACTTTCAGAAAACATTTTAAACATGAATACTAAAACTTACTCAGATTTATTTTAAAAAAGTAGAATTAAACTTAAAACATTCCTGCTCTTTTATTCTGAAAGTTTCTTGAACCGTAGTTATCTATCAGTTTTTACTACAGAGGTTATTAAGACTGAAAAGGACAACAGATTTCTTATTATTATTATTATTTTAAACTGATAAAAACAGGTGAAACGTTAAAAAAATAAATCTTCACAGTTCACACAAACAGCCCCACACACTCACCGGTCTTTGGTTTCAAACCGATCATGCATCCACCTGCGGAAACTCTTCGACTCAGAGGGGATATCCCTTACTTTAACACGGCTGAAGTGTATGTGGATCCGGGGACATTCTTTGCAGAGGAATTCTGTCAAACATTAAAAAAAAAAAAATAATGAGAGACTAAACAAAAACAGGAAAATCCTTTCAGCAAAGACGCACGTAGCTGCTGGGACGCTGCAATAAAACTGAAGAGAGCTAAAAAAAAACAAACAATTTCAGTCAGCTTAAAAAGGTACCTCAGAAATTTAGGCTCTTTTTGAAATCTGATGAAAAAAAAGGGGGTTCACAAATGGCAGACCGAGGTACAAATTCAAACCCAAATATAGTCTTATCTGGACCAAATCATTTGTTAAATTTCATGATTTTAATTTTTACTTGCTTGTTTTTCCTCTATTTAGTGCAAATTATTTTAGATGGTGCAGCTTTTCTAGGATTTATGGTAATTAATTTCAGGTTGCACAACTTTTCTAGCATTTATGGTAATTCTGACGTCCTACAAGTGTTCTGTTTCTTTCAGCAGAACGAAGCTGCTGGAAAATACAATAAAGTGAGCGAAGACGATTACCATTGCAGCCATTAAAAGAAAATTTAAATATATATACCGTATTTATTCATGTATAATACGATCTCATGTATAATAC